GGACGAGGGACGGCAGCCCTCCCGTCCCGACCGGGGAGCCCCCACCCATCTCCCCGCCCCTCGGCAAATCTCTCGCGCGCGCACACGCCCAGAGCGACCCGGAGCGCCGAAGCGGGGCTGCTGGAGGAGCGCCCCGGGAGAGTCTCTGAAGGAGTCCCTGTTCGGGTTGTGCCCCAGCAGCCAGGACGCACCAGACCCAGACAGCACATCCGAGCACTAACCAAGTTTAACGCGTGCCTCTCCACGGTGTTTTGCAGACAAATGAGGGCAACCAAGTTCCTACCAGGGGCGATTACGTTTTCCGGATGACCAGCTTTAGGATACAAATGCAACAGGCGACACGCTTTGGTGATCTCTGTGCCCTTTGGCGCGTGAAGCTCAGATGACCTTTGTTGGCTACCAGAGGCAAAGCCCGTCAAGCCATCTGAAAGGGCAAAATTGTTTTTCCACGGTAGGGCAACTGATCAGCTTCCAGGGGTGCCCGCCGACTGCGGTCAAAAAAGTCAAGAGGACGCACATAAAAGGATGGATGGATCTGCGGCCGCCCGGTCGCCGCCGCCATGTTGACTTTTTGACCGTAGAGTGCAGAGACCTCGGTGCCAGCTTCGGTTGCAGAAATGGTAACTAGTCTTCTCCAGCCTGTGCTAGTCCAAGGGGGTGGAGTTCAATTCCCATTATGGGAATTAAAACTCAGTATCTCTTGAGGGCACCTGGTTGGAGAAGAGCTGGACTTCGGGGAGAGCTGCCTTACCTGCGTTACAGTGCCCGAACCAACCACCAGGGCCAGCAAAAACAGTTCTCTGTACCTTTTTGCTACTCTCCAACGACCCTCTACGTCAGTGCTTCTCAACCTTGGCAACTGAAGACGTGAGGACTTCAACTCCCAGAAATCCCCCGCCAGCCCGGCTGGCTGGGGAATTCTGGGAGTTGAAGTCCTCACGTCTTGAGTTGCCAAGGTTGAGAAACACTGATCTAGAGCAGTGTTTCTCAACCTTGGCAACTGAAGACGTGAGGACTTCAACTCCCAGAAATCCCCCGCCAGCCCGGCTGGCTGGGGAATTCTGGGAGTTGAAGTCCACACATCTTCAAGTTGCCAAGGTTGAGAAACACTGCTCTAGATCAGTGTTTCTCAACCTCAGCAAGGTGAAGTGGTGCCATAGTCCACACCTCTTCACACTGCTGAGGTTGAGACACCTTGTAGATTTTTGCGGCACAGATATGAGAGCCTAACCTTGGGCCTGAAATCCTAGACCCCATTTTATTTACAAACGTATTTTCCTTCTCTAGAGCAAGAGGGCTCCTTTCTCAGACCATGCCTTTGCATCAGGGAAGCAAAGGCAAACATTTTGGTATTCCTGTGAATTAAATGTCTGGGTTTGCACATGTTAGACTGGACTAAAATGGGATTCGGGCGTTTGTGGTTCAGTGCATTGTGAGAATCCAGGCATTTTTGCATCTGGTGTGAGCCAGGCCACCACAGACACAATCTGGTTTATTTCGTTAGACACCACATGTTATAGGAACTTAGCACCTGGGATTTCTTAACCTGCATTTAGGGCTAACAGATTGCTTTAAGGTGAGTATCAAACATGAAAAGGCAGGATTTCCACATCTGCCTGTCTGTCTTTCCATCGTGGTTGGCAAATAGTTGGGTATGTAAAAAAAATTTTTAAGAAGAATTTAACAGCCGACTTTGGCTTTCATCACATAAAACCGTTCCACTTACATTGATTCCCTGAATGTTTACAGTGATGCTGTGACTCGCTTTTTAAAAATTTATTCTTATAATGGTTGATAACACTGCTGGTTTTTTCTTTACTTAATCATGATTTGCTAACTGATGCTGATCAGATTGTTGTTAACTGCCGCAGCCCAGCTTTGTGGGGAGCATGCAAGCAAAGTAATGAAATAAACCAAAGGGGGGTTGGTTTTTCTCTGAGGAAATGCCTTTTTGGTCACCAATGTAGATAGGTTTTAAAGGGAACAAGAAAGATCAGGGCCTAAAAAGCCACTACTTTGGAACTGCAGACCACATGTCCAGAATACCAGCGCTCCAAGAATAGCAGTGGAAGAGAGAGGGGCATTTGTGGAGAGGAAGTCAAAAAAGTCAAGATGGTGGCCATGACTATGCGTGCGCCACATGTAAAAAGAGGCTAGGCTTTCAATTACATGGCCATGGTCACCATCTTGCCTTTTTTGACCTATCCCCATAGAGGCCCCTGGATGAACATCCTCTTGCCCATGTTGGAAAGCTTCCTAAATACATTTCTGGGTTTGCACATTTGCTAAAAATGGGGTGATACAGTCCAGGTTCTAAAATTGCTTGGATGTATAACTGGACTTTAACATTTGCAAAATACAATTTGGTTTGTTTCAAGGATTTATATAGCTACCCCGGGGTAATACTTGGATGGGAGACCATCAGGAGATCCTTTTTTTTTGGCTTGACTGGAATGTTGAAAAGCTGTCATGGGAAGAAGCAATTGCAACCCTTTTTCATACTCTGGTCACTTGGAGTCAAGCTTGACTTAAAAGAGACTTTATCTTTGGGAGGATTTTTGGTGGGGGTAAATATTTGGGAAGCAGGTCTTAAATCACACTGAAAGCTTGGAGAAGAAACACTCAGTAACCTCCTCAAATCTTGTGAGTAACATGTAGTTTGGCCTTCAGAGGAAATCCAGCCACCCAGCCACATACCTACATTGCTTTTCTGTTTCTATTCTGAGACCCGTATGTCAAAAATACAATCAAGAAAAAAAATCTACTCAAAATGCCATAAACATACCTTCCTCTTCCCCACATGTACACAGATAGGATCAGTGGTATAAGTGCATCTTATTTACTGGACTTTAGAACTGCTCTCTTCTCAGCTAGGGCAAATAAAATACTTTTCCTCCTAGCTTTAGCTGTTTCTTGTGCTAAGTCAGTCATTTTGTTCATTCTTTCTTGGAGGGTGGGAGGAGGAACTATGAACCTGGACTCCAAACCAACCAGAACCATTATCCTTACTCAGCAGCTCATTGGTTTGCTTTACAAGAATGTTTAGCCATAACTCCTTGATTAGATTACTGATTAATCTTCTAAGGAGGGTCAGTTAATATTTAATTAAGAAAAGCTAATTCTTGGTTCTTGATGACCTGTGTGTTTGAAGGAGACTGAGATACCCATATGCGAGTATTCACATGTACATCTATTTTTTACATCTCTTTTCTCACCTGGAAAAAGGATGTGCTTGTGTATACGTGTGTGTGAAAGAGAAGCAGAGATCTGTGAAATGGGGATCTACAGAATCAGCAGCCCTTAGGGCAGTATGGGGAATGTTACTGGATTCTTATTTATGTTCTGCCTGATTCCTCATCCCCCACCCCAGAAATGCTATCAAACATCATTCAAAAGAAACCAACCTTTGTGGTCCTCTCCCTATGTAAGAAAGGGACATTCAACCTTATATTTCAGTGTAACAAATCCTCATTCAGAAAGTGGGCAATTTTGCTGGAACGCAGAGAGGAAGATCTGATCTCAGATGCATCCATTGTTTCAGCCAACCTTCTGATCTTTGAAAGTCTAGGTGGATTTCAAAGTCTTCATCATCCCCAAAGATTAGGTACCTCATTCCAGGGTGGTTCTTGAGGGCCAGATCTTATCTCCAGTTTTCAGCCCCAGTTAATGACACCTCCTCAAAACACAGGTCTCAAGCAGATCTCACTCCAAATACTTTAACTGGATGGAATTCCACTACCTGTGTATTGTCACTTGGAGAACAGCGGGAGAGCCTTTAAAATGTTCTGAGTGTTGTGGAATCTGGCAGATATCTGGGTTAAGACAGAGTTACAGACTGCACATAGGAGCCCAGGTAGGTTTTTCTTCACAGCAAATCAGTACTCCAAGCCCTCTTCCGCCTTGAAAGTCATCAAGCAGCTATAGACACAAATGTCTACATGAAGGAGTAAAATCTAGTGCCAGCATAGTTTCCAAGCATGGCATGTTCATGGTATGGTGTGGTAGAACTACAGCTGATTGTGGCATAGATCCTTGTAGACAAAGAGGCGAGGAACTACGTAGCATGTAAACACTGGACTTTCCAAAGGTGGAGAAAGTCAGGGGAAGTTGATTCTCCCTGGTCCCTTGAGCTCTCAATGACACATTTGAAAACACAAACAGATTCTTTGGAGCCTTAGCAGTCCAAACTAAGAACTCAAAGTAACATTTGAAATAAAATCCCTAACCAAAACCATAAACCATGCTGGGGGCAGCGGTTTGAGGCTTTCAATCCTGCTTTCTCATCAACAGTCTAGATCGGTGTTTCTCAACCTTGGCAACTTCAAGATGTGTGGACTTCAAGTTTCCAAGGTTGAGAAAGACTGCTCTAGATCAGTGTTTCTCAACCTCAGCAAGGTGAAGTGGTGCCATAGTCTTAAAGCTGCCAAGGTTGAGAAACACTGGTCTAGATGGATCCTTCAGCTGTAGGCTGAAGTCCACATGTCTTAAAGTTGCCAAGGTAGAGAAACACTGGTCTAGATAGATCCTTCAGCTGTAGCTGTAGCTCCTTTGTGTGCGGGTTCTGGCTTTCTCTCTTCCCACCTGACATTCCAGCTGGACGAATCAACTCTATTCTCTGCCTGGGGCAGTAAGGTGGCTCAAGGCCAGGCAGAGTAGAAGGGTGGGGCAATGTGTTTGTACAGCCTGATAAGGGTAGCCCAGCTGCAAATTTCTTGTCCTGATTTGACTATTTGCCAATGGTTGAAGTCTGTTATCTCCCTGATCCTTCTTCTCTTCTCTTCTCCACCCCACCCTACCCTTATTTCTTCATCAGAATAGCTTTTAAGCTCAGCAGGTTTGCCAAATCTGCAAACACTCTTGATGCCGATGTGGCTTACTCACAAGGAGGCTGGGGTTTTCCCTTTACCATCCTGCAGAATTTCCAATCACTCTGTGTAAATGCAACACTTTTTGATTGATTGATGGATTGATTGATTGATTGATTATGTGCCATCAGGTTGGTGTTGACTCATAGCAACCACATACATTTCCTAGATCTGTCTCTAACCTGGTCTTTCAAGTCTTCGTAGAACACACTGACCCTTAAATTGATATTGAACAAAACACTATTAAGGTGCTCAATAAAATGCTGTGTTTAACGTACATTATACCCACAATATCAAGAGAGCACTGTCTGCAGGCAACAGAGGTGGAATAGAAATCAGCCCATCGGGGAGCAACATTCATGCTGGTATAATTTTCCACTGACTCAAGAATGGCTGGTGAGCAATTTAACTCAGCAGTAGGGAAAAGTCCACGGACTTGGATATCTTCTCTATATCCTCTATCATAAAAACAGATATAAAAAATTCATTCAGTTATTCTGCAACCTGTTAATGCTAACTGGAAACCTTTTTTTTTGGACTTTTTGTGGGAAACAGAAAAAAGTGAATTTATGTATTTGTTTGTTTGTTTTATTAAACATATTCCGCCCATCTCCCCCAGAGGGTGACAAATTATGTTGTATAGATTTGATGATTAGAAATAATATGGGTTAATAGAAATAATGGAAGTTATGTTTTAAATTTAGAGTAAGTTTGATGTTTATTGTTACTTATATCTGTTGCAAGGAGGGTCAGAAATCAATTGTTTTTTGTTGTTTTTTCTGCACTTTTGATCTTTACTATTTTCTTTTTCTTCAGTTTTCTTTCTTCTTATGCTTTCTCTTAATATTAATTCATGTTAGTTTTTACTGTTCTTCTTAAAAATTTAATAAAGTTATTATAAAGAAAAGTTATTCTGCAATCTTGAGTGCCTGTTTTACTCCTTTCTTACTTTCCTGACAGTTTCTCTGCTTTAAATAAATTTTAAGTTCTTACTGTTCCGGTAACATTTTTTGCCATATGCTTCCAAAGTTTCTTTTTGCATTCCTTATTATTACCTTACCCTTTTTTGACCAGTGTCTGCTCCTTTCTGTTAGAACTTGTTTTCCACTTCCTGAATAAAGCTCTCTTAACTTTGATAGCTTTATATATAGGATTTCTAGAAGCCATGCTGGGTTCATCCTTCATTTAATTGACACATTGTAGAACGGGACATCTGTGAGGTTGGATTGGGGCAAAAAATCAAGATGGCAGCTCTAACCATCCAATTGAAGCCCCGCCCTCTTTTTGTATGCATCATGCATGCAACATATGTAAAAATGGGGTGTTGCATGCACAATGCATACAAAAAGGGGAAGGGGCTTCAACCCCAAAGATGCCCCCGTTCCACAATATGTCAGTTAAATCCAGGAAGACCCAGCAGGGGGGAGTTATAAAATAAAGGAAGTAATGAAAAAAGAGATTAACTTTTGGTTTTTAATTGGGTTTTAAAGCGGGGGGTATTGTGTTTGTTATTGAATTCCGTATTTTGTTTCCTGGTTGTGTTATTTGCTTGTTTTAATTATGCGAGCCACCCAGAGTAACAAATGTGAGATGGGCAGCTATACAAATAAATAAATTTTTAAAAGAAGAAAAGAGGAGCATTTTTTGTTCATAATTCCTGGAGATTATTTAAAACCACAATAAATGAACTCAAGTAGAATGCATTCCATAACAAAGCCATCCTTGGGGGCAGGGGGTCAAAGTCAAGATGGCTTCTTGTTCATCAGTTCTTTTATTTTTGAGAAGTTTCCCCTTTTGTAGTCAAATGTGACTGTGTTGGACCCTGCTGGCAATTCCCCACTTGCATCTATGCTGATTGATTGATTACATGCCATCAAGTTGTTGTTGATTCTTAGCAACCACATAGATTAAATTTTCCCCATGAAAATCTCTCCCTATTCTGGTCCTTCAGCTTTTCCAATGGTGCACTCATCCCCACTGGAACATGATGGCTGGGGAATTCTGGGAGTTGAAGTCCACACATCTTAAAGTTGCCAAGGTTGAGAAACACTGTGCCACTAAATAAAATTGCATAAGAATAAACAAGGCCAGAACTTCAGACTTGAGTTTAGAATCTTAATATCTGACCATATTGTAATAAAAAAGGACTCCAGTGATAGGAACTGTATCATTTCCTCCCAAAGTCTGTCACCATTCCCAAACTGAACCTACAAAAGGTGTGTGCTTACATAACAACCTACATCATCTAAAGTCAACAGGTTAAAAAAAAAAGTCCTAGATACAGTTATCTTCCAGGCAAAAAGTTACCTTCCAGGTAAAACTCATCTTTTTAGGCAGTTTTTTTTTCTTTAACCAAGAAAAATGATCAACAAAGATATATTCAATCTCTTCCCACCTGCCCAAACCAATTCTAAAGGATATGGAGATTTTTCTCAACATCAGGTTAATCTTACACTTTAAGACATCAGAGCTTTTCTTTATGGACAGGGAGAGCAAGGAGTTTCATGGGAAACTTTATATAGAAAAATGCCATTGGCTTCAGCTCAGATTGAGCGGATCTTTTAGCAGGAGTGTATTAATTATCTTTAATCTTTAATCCACTAAAAGGCATAACATATACAAAGTTAGTCACGATGTCATCAAGTTCCAATTGAAGTAGGGTTGAACTGAGAACTATCAACAGCTTGGGGGTGTGCAGCAAATCATAGTGTTTCTTTCAGAGTCCCAGCTGCAGCTGTCACGGTGAAGGCAGCAATGGAGATCTGCCTCTTAACTTCTTCCCAGGCTTTCTGTTGCTCTGCCTTATTATCAATGTCAAACAGGGCATCATAGATCCCAGGAAAGGACACTCCAGCATACTTGTTGTGACTGTTTGGAGCAAAGATGATGTGTCTAGAAAAAGGCAGCAATGTCAATTGTCCATTGGAATCACAATATTTAGAGCAGAAGTTGTCAAGGTTTGAAATAAATCAGCTTTCTCCAAACTGCTGCCTTAAAAACATTAAGAAGAACTTTATTGGATCACGCCAAAGACCCATCTAGTCTTGCATTCTGTGTCACATAATGAACAACCAGATGCATTCAGGAAGCTAACAGGATTGGACTGGGAGGTGAAAGATATCTTTTTAAGAAGATCTTAAGATTTGTTTTTAAGAAGTAGTTCAAAGATTAGGAGCCACTAATAGCCCTCTCCTCCATGAATGTATCTGCTCTCCATACATCAACTGACCATCTCTATATCTGATAGCATGACCTCCATGGTTTATTTAGACTTTGTTATCTTTGGGGCAAATATCTGGACTCATTTCCAAACAAATCCAACATGACATGATGGACAGGGCAATTTGTTGTTAGTTAAAAACTTTGCATTGCTCAGATTTTTCATATGTGCTTACACAGTGAACGAAATCCAACTTGCTTGTAAAGTAAGTGAGAATTGGAGTGACCAGTTCATAGAAGTCATGGGGATCAGTGGCTATTAGCTTTGATGGAAGTGTGAAAGCCTTTGAAGGCCATCAGCTGGCAGGGCAGTGGGCTTCTGTATGCAGTTGGTTGGTCACTGTGAAAACAGACCATTGGACTATTCTTATGAAAACTAAGGACTTTTAAGGTGGACGATGGAAAAGAAGGTTGACATATATTTTTTCTCCTTACCTATAAAATGGTCTGCCAGGCAATCCAAGAGGATCAATAAATGCTCTTTCCAAGAACATCAACTGATCATTCCAAGATCTTACTTTGATTGGGCTGGAAATTAGACAATTGAAATAACAATGTTAGAGGAAGTATGACATGACTCTTATGAGCCCCCCTTTGGTGCCCATGTGAAACCAATTGTGATCTGGAACCACATGAAGCCAATTCCACAGTCTTTTGGAAGCCCAGTAAAGGTGACAGAAGAATACTTTAACTGGACTTTCTCAAGCTAGAGTTTGCATGGATCCCTTAAACTTCAATTAATATCAGGAGAAAGGAGGAAGTATTATCTGAATGCCCAGAAAATTAGGAGACTTACTTATTGATGTCCAGTAGTTTGAGTCTGCTGTGAAAGTCATTGGCAACTTCTGAAAATGTCTTTATGGAATCAAGAAGCAAGTCTGAAACAATGCAGAAGAAAAAAATGCTAAATAACAAGAATCTTACCTTTATTGTTTCCATAAAATTAGCTCAAGTGTAGAGAACCTGTGGCCCTCCAGATGTTGCATGACAACTCTCATAACCCTTATCATTGCCCTGTTATTTAGAGGTATGTAGTTCAGGATTTTCCATAATGGCCCAAGTGACTGGAGAATTGACAGTGCCCATATTGGGGAAGAATTTGCATTATGGCAAGAACCCCATGTTAACAAAAAGTAGGAAGAGGTCAACAACTGTCCACTCTAAGATAGTCTTAGTTTCACAATTCTTAACTGAAAAACAAAGGATAAGTAGTGTAAAGAAGACAAAAACATATGTGGAGCACATAACAGTTCTATACAGCATTCAGCAGCCAAATCATCTGCTTTGTTAAACCAAAGTAATTGTGTCAGCAGATGCTGATGAGCAAGGAGAAGATGAAGAGTGCATGACACAGTCTTTCCTGTACCCATTCGTTAACCTCCTGCCCTCAGGTGCAGTTGCTGCACTTGAGATAAGAGTTATCTGCAACTTTGTTCTTATTTTATGTACATGGAATTGGAAAGATGGATGGGAGTACCATTTTGTTAGAAGCAGCAATTATGGTTGGTCATGTTTGTGAGGTTAATAATTCTATTTTGGGGGATTGCCTCCAAGCCTGGGGATGATATATGGGAATCATTAATGGTTGCATTCTTCACTAGTGGCTCTCTCCATATTTTGTGGCACTGAGTTTCATGAAATGGTTTCATTTGTTTTTTCTGAATCTATTATTACCTTCATGGAATGACTCTAGATCTTTAGGACTTTCCTGAAACCACAGGAAAGGAGAAGGGCTAGGCCTTGATGCCCTGATCTTAACTATTATTTCTTGAGGCAGCTGTGTATTGGACGAAGTTATATCTGGAGGGTACCCAGTCGTGGTAACCTTTTGCTTCCCCAACATGCTTAACTGGAACAGTGAGGAGGTTATACTAAAAAAGTGATCAACTGACCCCCCAAAGCCCCAATGATACAAAGGTTGAAACACCTGCACCTAGCCAAGTCAGTCATTTTGCATACCTAACACTTCCAAAAAAAGAGTTGGAGAGAATGGGTAAAAAATTAAGTATCCTTCACATGGCTGCTATTGGGTTTCACCCAACAGGTAGGATTGGAGGCAAGTCCACAAGAACCTAAGATGTTCCAATAATTCATCTCTATTGAAGAAATGTTAGGAAGCTCAAACCAAAGCATTCTAGCAATTGCTGGGTTTCAAAAGCAAGCTCTGTTTATAAAAATAATCTCTAAACCCTTTGGGCCTATTCAGTGGATGACCTACCCTCTCTTTTGTATGGGAGGGCCAGTTTCCACTTGGCCCTTGTTTTTGCAATGGTCAGATTTGCTATCACGTTGTTTTTCATGGACTGCGTGAGAACTCACGCTCACAACTAGGCTGAAGGAATCAGTGAGGAATGCTGCGTCTTATTGAAGGCCCTACCTTGACACTGGAGTTTCTCCTACTTACCTAATGATACATTGTACGCTTCCATTGCTACCCGATGTTTCATAGTTATATTGTAAAGGATACCAACATAGCTATTAAGCGCCATGGCGTAATCTCTGCAGTTGAAGGGGAGGATGACCTCATTAGCCAACTCAAATACCAGCCCTCCTCGCACTTGGGCCACGGCTAGGTGGTTCTTAAAAGTCGGGTCATAAAACTTTTCCACAATCTCGTATGTCTCATAGACACTGTGATAAACTGGGTAGCTGCTGAACTTGTCCACTTTCTGGAAAGAAAGGTGTGAGCATAAGTGGGCTTCATTTTTGTAATTCAACTATTTTTGTACACAAAGAAGTTGGGCACAATGTGTTGAACACAAAAAGAAGTTGGGTTAACAGCATAAAATTCCTATGTTCACAGATCTGTCCAAAGAGATAAAATACATCGTGGCTGAACTTGATGGCCTGGATTGCAAACATGCTAAAATGGATAATCAGATGCATTACAACTGAATTTATATTTCAGTTGCATTGGATTGCATTAATTAAATTATTTCCCAGGGTTTAATCCTCTGCCCTTTGCAAATGATAAATTGCTGGGGATTTGTAGATGACCTTAATCTAGATTAGTGTTTCTCAACCTTGGCAACTTTAAGATGTGTGGACTTCAACTCTCAGAATTCCCCAGCAGCAATTTATCATTAAATAAAGAATCTTTGATTTAGATGCTCAGAAGGATACAGCTAAAACCCCTCCATGTTACTTCACAGATCTGTTTTACAGGCCTCCATAATATCACTTCTGACACACTGAGAAAAGCATTCATATTAGCAAAGTTAAACTCCTTACCTTCTGTTCTGATAGAGGGAAAGGTTAGCAATACTGTATCCCCATTTTGGAACATTTTTGTATTTGCCCAGAGTCTACTATTGAGTCCTTTGCTCACATTTTATGAAAATTGACAGGCAGCGCTTCAGTATCTCACTTTTTAACAATTGCACCAGTTAGCCAAAAGTGGAAATTGTTCATTTCCTACCTTCAGACTTTTTACTGAAGTTTTCCAGGAATGCAGCCTGTTCTGCTCAATTGCTATAGCTACTAGGCATTGGGCTTAGTTTTTATTTTAGAGCAGTGTTTTTCAAACTTGGCAACTTTAAGATGTACAGACTTCAACTCCCAGAATTCCCCAGCCAACTCCCAGACTTCAAGTCCCAGAATTCCTCTTGCTGGCTGCGGTACTCTGGAAGTTAAAGTCTGCACTCTTAAAGTTGCCAAGTCTGAGAAACACTAGGATTATGTGAGCGAGATGATTTTCTCCAGTTTCCCTTTGTTATGTTGCTTCTTTTACTCTGCATTATATTGTCTTTTTAATATATTTATTTACTTGTTTGTTATTTCTTTCCTTATTACTGGGCCTTTGACTGTAAATCAATAAAGCAAAGTGTAAGAAAAGTGACTTAGTAAGCAGCTTTCAAGATCTTTAATGAGTCTTGCTCCTTTTATAGCCAGATGGCATATGGTGAGACCCAAATCATGTTTTTCCTAGTAGAGTATCACCTTGGGCTTTCAATCAGTTTTTTGCAAATGGGGTTCTGGATTGTTCAGTTTGACATGAGAAAGTCCATCTGTTTCTATTGGAATTAAATCCTTAGATAATCTGCATTTTCTGAATAATTGGGAAATACTTGAGATAAGAAAAATGGACTTTCCCTGGTAGGTTTTGTCTTTTAAGTGGAGAGATTTGAGATTCTCTGGATGGAATGTTTGCGGCTTTCTTGTTTCGGCATTCGAACAATGTATTGGACTGCCTCTCCCATAATCTACAGCCAAAATCTGGAAAATCTAGGCTGCAGAAGGCAGTTTCAGCTGGATTTATGCATGCTATCCTTTGAACAGAGAGCTAGTTTGGTGTAGTAGTTGAGGAAGCAGGCTAGAAACTGGGGGACCATGAGTTCTAGTCCTGTTTTGGGCATAAAGCCAGCTGGGTGACTTTGGGCTAGTCACTCTCTCTCAACCCTAGGAAAGAGGCAAGGGCAAACCACTTCCAAGATCTTGCCAAGAAACCTGCAGGGAATAGTCCTGGTAATCACCAGGATTCAACACTGACTCGAAGCCCCCCCCTCCCAAAAATATTGAACACACTTACAAAGTTTTTAGTGTAACGGGCTCTACCAGAAGCAATTCCCAACCTCTGAAAAAAGACTTCAAAATCATTGCCAGAACCCAGCTTGTTGATCCTGTTGGAAAGAACATAGGGAGGGGAAGGGGAACAAATTGTGTAAGAAATTATAAAATTATTATTTCAATGTGAGACACTAGAGATCTCAAATAGTTTCTGTACAATTATCTATATCTGCTCCAGCTCCAGCTCCAGGTCCTTCCTTCTTTCTTTTTTCCCTTTACATGCCTATTTTTATCATTTACAGAAGAAAGTGGAGAAAGAGACTGGATATTCCAGTGAATAGGTCAGAGTCAGAGGGAAAGTTGGAGGCATACCCACACATGTTCTGAAACGTGTGTGGAGGGACAAACTTTCCCTGCCAAGATGAAGAACCTTGCCTGAGCAATGGATCTACACAACTTTTCTGCCATGAGGATCATGTAGGAGAGATACTCAGTTGCTTTCTATCTTGCTGGGCTTACAGAACATGTCCCAGTATATCTGGAACTTCACTTTTGTATTTGCATCCTCAGCTGCTACAAAAAAATCCACCCCCTTCTCTGCAAGGCAACCCAGTCTCTGATTTCCACTTTCCCCAGTTTGGCATTTACCTCGGGAAGCCTTTATGTTCAGTTGATGGACTTTTTTCATTCCAGCTTTCAAAAAGAGATTTGCCTTCATATCCTTCGTCAGGGCTTGGTATCTACAAAGATATATTTTGTGTTCTTGAAATGTAGAAGAAAGAGATGACGTACCATCACTACTAGCCTTTTTCATGAAGCAAATTGGGGGCATGAACATAGCACCTGTCTGCAGCCACATGATCCCAGGAAAAGGGATACTGTTGTTTCAACATGTCACAAACAGGCACTTCATTTGCATTCCCGGGTGCTCCAAAACACTTTTTGGAGACTGAATCTGAAGTGCTGTGTAGCTTTAATGGTCTAAATGGGAAATGTACAATATAGCCTTTCTCAACTGGCTTACTCCAGTTATATTATACAACTTCCACAATGCCCAGGGGTGACATTTTGGAATCAAACACATCCAAAGAACATCAGACTGGAGGAGGCTGGTGTCTGACATAACATGCTCTTGTAAAGACACAGATTGTTGGCCACAAGCTTTCTTCCTTACTTAATCATGTAGGCAATCTTATACGAAATTAGACTTGCTGATACTGGCATGCCTAAGCTACTGGCTTCTGTGCACTGTCATTATTCAAACCACATGATCCTTATTTTTCAATGTACCATGCTATTTACATACCTAAGAGAAAAGTGGTTGGTTTTAATTATTGTTATTCAGGAAGACCTTCATTTCTCAAACAAAGTTTGAGCTCAACTGAAAATCACACTCAACCTTATGATTTGGACATACAGTATTTGTCCAATCTAGAAGGATATTCCTTCTAGACCAGTGTTTCTCAACCTGGGGAACTTTAATTCCCAGAATTCCCCAGCCACCATAAATGGTGGTCTTTTCTTTGATGGAAATATTTGAACAGAAGTAGAGAGTTATCAGGCAGGGATGCTATACTTCTCTTATGCATTTAGAGCAGGAAAGAGGCTAAGATGACTATGGTGCAGTCAGGAATGTCTGAAAGGTGTGAAAAAAAAAATCAGTTTTTATACCACACCCTCCAGACAACCCTAGTTGTAGTGATTCAGGTGTTATCTAGGACCAGAAATCTACTCACGCTTTCCTTCAGCTCAATGTACCTCACAGGGTTGCTATTTATATCTAGGACCTTTACAACCCAAGAAACTAGGGAGGGTCCCTTCTGAGATGTTTGCTATGCCCATATTCCTGTTGTGATGGGCTAAGCTGCCTTTTATCTGACTGTTGGCCTGGCTGCAGCTCTTCCCCCTGTCTCCCAAGGTCATTCCCACATACCATTATGAGTCCCTTCTGAAATGCTTCCCATGCTTTTCTCCCACCTGCAGACTGAGCTGCCTCTTATTAGACTGTTGTCTAGGCTGCAGGTTTTCCTCCTGTCTCCCAAGGTCATTCCCACATACCATTGTACACAGCCATCTGTAGTTTAGCAAGCTTCTAGGGAAATGACAAATGCTACAGTCCAAGGCATCTGGAGTATATCAGTAAACAAAGTTGCCTACAGTATAATATATAGATATATATGTATTAAAGAGCTTTGTGAAACCTCATGAAAAAGAAGGGGTGCTGACATTTTCAGCAGTGTATCAATAAAAGAATGTGCAAATGGGATCCAAAACATCTGGGAAGCCAGAGATGCCCATCTCTGTGGTAGACAGTAGGAACCAGGATGAACCCAATTAGACTGTAGATGTGAAGCTCCCAAGAACCTCACTGAGAACCACTCTGAATTCCCCTCCAAAACAACTATAAAATATTGATCTGTGATGTCAGAGGATATATGTCCCTGTTTTACCTCTTTAGTTAGATTGTATACCAGGCTATGCATCAATGGGGTACAGTCAACTCGAAGGGTATAGTTGCCTGAAAGAAAAGGACAGTATCTTTACTGTCTTTTAGGAGGCATCTTTTTAAAGAAATTATTTGTATTTGGGGGGAAACCTAACCAACATATTTTGAATGTGGGCATCTACTATCCTTATGTTCCTTAAAAAATAAAAATGCTTTTGGATTTTAGGGTAAATGAAATGTATCTCTGTAACGGCATACAAGTTTCTGTAGTTGTAAAGAGTTGTATCAAAAATGGTTGAACTGGTTGGATAAGTTTAGCTTATTAGATTTCCTTTGGCTATGAATTCCATACAAGAATTTAGATACCTTATGCTTTACTAGAAATGTAATGGGAGAGAAAAGAAGTGTAGTCCTTAAGATGTGGCTTCTTGTGACATTTTAACCTGCATATTCAATAAGTAATCTTTAGGGCAGTGTTTCTCAACCTCTGTAACTTTAAGTCATTCAGACTTCAACTCCCAGAATTTCCCTAGCCAGCATGCTGGCTGGGGGAATTCTGGGAGTTGAAGTCCGCACAACTTAAAGTTACAGAGGTTCAGAAACACTGATCTAGATATTACCATTAATTTTAATGGATCATAAAATATGTGAAAGAATGCTTCAGAGCTGGATTAAACCGTTTTGCAAAAGACAAGGTATCATCCATCTTCACCAGCTGACACCTTCTACATACCAAAACCAACAGTGTGGCAGCTGAACTTTACCTTAAGACAGCTCTATCTTAGCAAGCTAGCTTCAGAAAGCAAGTCACGCAGCATACACAGCTCTGTTCTCCAACAGAGGAAAATGGTTGAGAGGAATAATCAGGAGGAATAGTTAGGGATATATCTGCCATTGATGTCATGTCCTCACTTTGGCCAAAAAGAGGGCTGTCTCTGAACTGTTTCCATGGCCCAGATAAGCCTCTCTCTGCTGACCACAAACAGAGGGCAAACAAGGAAAACTTATCTCCTTGAAGATTTGCTTCCCAAAAGTATTTCCCAATCATAGACAGTCTACAGAGCTGAGAGAAACCCCTGGCCTGAGCAAACCCCACTGATCTCATATTCTTATCTAAATTCTGTAAAATAACATCAACTGAAATCCAATCTCAGACCCACGAGAAGGAAGGTTTGGCATGTTCAGAAGTTGCAAGCACTTTGACCATTGTTTACCCACTAAATTCCAGAAATGATCAGTCACAAGGTGTGTTTTACCTTCTATAGAGGAATCAGCATTGATATAGGCCACACCCCGCTGTTGTAGTAGTTTGACATTTTCCTACAGTGGAAAAGAGGAATTAAAAGCTAATTCAGATTAGTGTTATTTTTACATGATTCAATAAATGAATATTCTATGAATGCAATTATTTTAATTTTTAATAGGGTAATTATAGATAAACATTTACAAACAAAGCTGCTTTTGAGGTCCTCCATAATTTTGAAAAGTGGGAAGGGGTCCTGAGAGCAAAAAGGTTTAAGAAACACTGTGTTAGAGGAACTGAGATGAGCATTCACACTGTAGAAGGTACAAATGTATGAGATAGGGAGTTATTCCAAGTCACTTTCTGCCCTGATAGACCTATTCTTGTCAGGGTGGGGACCCTTAGCAGACCCTCTCTGCATGTTTGGGCTGGACAAAGACTGAGTCTGCAAAAGCTGTGTCTATCATAAGTATGTGTCCCTTTTCTACCAAAGGGTTTGCCGGGTACCTTATGGAATCTGAACCAGACTTTCCAGGCACCCTTCAGAAGTTTTAAACTACATTCCCCAACATCTAAAGCCAACAGGGAAGCTGGCTGTTAGAGTGAGATCCTAGTGAATGTTGTGGTGTAATGTGCTGGAGAGCTCCAGATTGAGAAAGATTGGTCGATGTTGATGTGTTTTAGCAACAGGGCACTTGTGACCCCACTAGCAGCTACGTAGCACCAATGATCTCCATAAGGAGGACTCCACTAGCTGGATTGTGAGTGAAAACAAATGAGATATGAATTGAACGTATCTATAATAAGATGATTAGTGTCCCCAGGGGAGAGTGAGCAGGGCCAACAAGTGGCTGGAAGGAAGGAAAGATTTTCTCTCTATTCTGCATTTCCAGTGAAAATCCACCCCACCTCCTTCCTACAAAGCAGTATTAATTCCAGGAGGGAAGAGTTTTCACTGGATTGCAACAAGGGGAAGGAAGGATTGATTCCTCTCTTTACACCTACTGTTTATCTCTGCTCTCCTCTTACTGAAAAGCTACTACTTTATTCATCTAAAAGGCAGATGACTCTGATTTTAAGGAAACTCCTGCAAAAGGAATAGACCCAAAAGTCCTATAAACAAAGACAAAAATCCTCTAGAAAGGCCACCTTTATCTCTTGATTAGCCAAGGGCTGTTATTCCATATGAAATCAATTCTCCTTCTCCTTAATTCTCCTTGAGGGGCTTCTTGAAGATGTTGGGCTGTCCCCCATGACAGCATAAGGTTGGATTATAGATGGGTTTGAAAGATTCTTTCATAACAAATGTGCTCTTCTCCTACTCTTGAGCAAGGGAGTTCCATTCTGCATCATTTGAGTTACCTTCGAATGCTTCATTCCTACATATAAGACTAAAGAGGGATGCAGTGCAAGTAATGGGTCTTCCAACCGTTGGCAAGCACATCTACCAACATCCAGTTCACTAGGACGCTACTGCTACACAGAAATGAATAAAATAGGGATTTGGGTACTGTGCGTGGCTGTGTTTCAAGCATGTGCTTTTCAAAAATAGGTGGTAGCTGTTTTTGTCTGATCTAGAAAGCTAAGCAGGGCTATTTGGGAAGATGTGATCTTGTGGATAGACTAGGACATCAAAAAATGTCTTGGAAGAAGGAAATGGCAAATGGGTTTTGTATCATGCCAAGGCAACTGCTTGGCTGTCTCTGTGTAAATCATCAGGAGTGGAGCCCAACTTGCGGGCATCTCAACTTTAGCTATGCTAAAAGTCAACAGAAACAACAATTTTAGTTTGTTAAAATGTAATGCATAAGCAACCAGAATTTTAGGAATCATCCCTTTGATGGGATGAAATCTTGAATTCACTTCTGCGTCATAAAATGTCTATGTCATCATGGGCAATCTGCTATCTAAGCCTCAGCTTACCTCAACTGCAAATTAGGTTTAATGTTATCTACTTAATCAGGGTAGCCATAAGAATTTCTCAGCTGAATGCTTGGAATAACTTAAAGTGCTAAGCGTTATTAACTTTATTGATTTACCTCTGCCCACTCTGTTGATCCTATTAAGCCAAACTCCTCAGCATCCCAACTAGCAAAAATCACTGTCCTTCTGGGTCGCCAACCTATATTTATAATATTTAGAGCACCATTAGTGTAGTATTCAAAAATTAAGCATCACAGAGTGAAGCTAACACAAAAATATAATATTCTGCACCCCCCTCCCCTGGTTTTATTTCCCATTTGATTTTCAGCAGTCTATGAATAACAAGCAGCTACTTATAACTGGGATACAGTGGGGCAGTTTTCCCATTTAGCATCATGCCAAAACAAAAAAATCAAATATGTAGCCAATTAATCCAATTCTGTGCTAAGTAAATCTGAATTCTACAGTTTGCACGAGTGATATAAATTGGCTTTATGATTCTGTCCAGAGCAAATGCCAGTCAACTTCATGGAATGTAATTCAGAGTAGATACACATAAGACTCTACTCTTATCTAACCACAAATATGTGGAGTCCTTGGGAAACTGTCAGCATCCTAGACCAAGCTAAATCCAAAAA